ATTTTGAATTTTATGTGAAGGATAATTGATAGTTTATGTATTTTCTACATGTCTTGATCAAATAATTGGAAAATTTGTTGTTTGTTTGTGCTATTTTACTTATTTATTGCTTATATATGACAAGAAATAATAGGAAATTAGATGTGAGTTCTAAACCCAACCCACCCATACTTTTGAATGTGGAGAGGGTAGAATCGGGGAAGATGCATTTTCATGTAGGAGAAGGATTTGAATTCTCAAAATTCAACCCTCTACGTGTTTTGGGGCGAGTGCTGGTTGGGAGGTTTAAGAAGGCATATAGGATCTAGAATTTACAAAATTCTCCCTGAACTCACCCCGTTGCTATCCCTAGATGAGGATTTTCGCAGGCACTGGGATAGGGAGTGGCTCCCACCCTATAGTCATTCCTAGCCTAGCTTGTTAATATTTAGCTCATCAGGCTTTAACTCAGCCCAGCTTGGCATGGTTTGGGCTGGGTACAGCTCGGTTTGGGCTTGGGCCTTATTATTTGAAGCTGAAGTTGATAATTAAACGGTTGCTGATGCAGTTACTTTTTCTTTGTTTTATGGGGAAAATCTATGATGTGGAAAAGATATAGTATCGGAAGAGTTTTGACCAATCAAAACTCACCTATGAACTTTGATAAATAACACCTAATTGACTATCACGATTATGATTCCAATTGACGGGTTAAAAGCTTTTTAGATATCATATCTTTTCCATATCATAGTCGAACCCTTTCTTTGTTTTTGTTTTGACCTTTGAGAGATACCCACGCTGTCTTGACATAACATGAAGTTTTTTCTAGAATTGAACCATGTGGATCATTTCAATTGGCCAATACTTTTACATTTTTATTATGCACAGAGAAGAAGAAGAAGAAGAAGGAGGAGAACCATTGGGGCTTACAAAGTTTGATTTTAAAAAGATGTGACGGGATCTTCTGCCAGTACTGACGCATGAATCACATATTATGTAACCAATCACGAGTGAATATGTAAGTGTTTAGGAAACATTGGCATGCTTACTTATGATTGGGCACATAACGAGTTCGGATGTGCTGTTGAAAGAGTGCACCTCACACGACCTCGCAGCATGTTTCAACTGTGCATTGGAAAGCATCTCCTCACAAATAAAAATTTGAAATTATGGAGATGTTTCAGATGCACGGCTAAAACGTGCTGTAAGGTTGGTACGAGGCACATTCTGTGAGGAGCAGATCCCATCTCGTAAATAACTAGGTTCACATACTTGTTTTTGCAGTAGATCCCTATTCTAACAAGATGGGTGGCCTTGGCAATCAATAAATTCAATCCTGTGCCAATCTATCAGTGGTCCATTACCATCATCATCATCATCATCATCATCATCACCAAAGGCCACTACTAATCTGAAGAGAAATCCTTGGCAGCCATGCACCAACCATCATCGCTCTACTAAGGGAGAAACCCATTTGCTTTATTAATTTGTAATCACTGGCCTAGCTGTTTAGATTGCTCTTATACTATGGAGTTTTGTACTTTTTGTTAGGGGTGTAATTCAGATTGGCCCCATTTAGCATTGTACAATGCTTCATCCCAGGCCTTCGAATTTTGTCAAAATCTCAACCTGAGACCGCCCAAATTACACCCCCCTACTTTTTTTTTTTTTTGTTTAAAACAACTTGATCTATTTGTTGTTGTAGTTTCCTCTCTATTGAACTGAATAGCATATTAGTGCCACTTAACCTGTTAGCAATTTTATGTAGAGCTGTTAATGGGTGTTGTTTTGGGAACAGGGTGGATCTGATTATACTTTGCATCGACATCTATGATTACTCATGACAATCAAGGTTCAAAGTAAAGAAGGATTGTTTGGTGCAACTGTGCAAGAGGTTGATCAAACTTCTTTGAGCAGTGAGGTTCCCGACTGGTCACTAGAAAGCCTTGATTGTATTCCAGGTAGCAGGAAACCAAAGTTAATTTCTGGCGGATTTCTATGATGACGTTGTTGTAAAGTCTCCATTTAGAGGCTCCAGCAGCTCTCGGGGAAGGGGTAAAAGTGGAAGAGAGAAAAAAAGTTTAGAGTTAGTATATAGTTCTTTCTATTATTTAGTTTTTTCTTAATAAATCTCGTACGGGTCCCCTTAATTTCTATGATGACATTGTTGTAAAGTTTCCATTTAAGGCTCCAGCAGTTCTCGGGGAAGGGGTAAAAATGGAAGAGGAAAAAAAGTCAAGGGTTAGTGTGTCTTTTGCTTCTTTTTGATTAATAAGCTGTCTGGTGTCTTGGGTTCTTTGTTAGTGTGTTAAGAGTTGTGTTAGGTGTTGAAAGGTGGCTTTGGTTGTTTTGCTAGAGTGGGTCAGGATTCTTGTCTCTTTTTGTTTGAGACTTTTCTTGTTCTTTTGTACCTTTTTCCTTTTTTTATTTATATACTTTACCTTTCTAATAAAAAGTAAGATACACTCCGGAATTGGAATGTATCAGTACTTTGTACTTAATATCGTGTTTGGTTGTAATACAAATAATTTTGCATAGTGCAAATAGTTTGATTGTAAATTTGATATATTTTTGTTTCGAAAGAATTTGTATTTTCTTTATTTACACTCTCATGCATTTATATTAATACAAATAAATTCGCAGCGTAATCAAACCTAGTTTAAGACTGCGTTTGGTAGAGGTGTAAAATCGAACCTGACTAAACTTTACACTCCCATTCGATTTTGCAGATATTTGGTTAACATGTAATTTTACACCGAAAATTACATTGGACCTTTTAATTATATCGATAATCGATGTAATAAATTATCGATGAATTTATTACATCGTGCTTTCTCTCTCTCTTCTCTCTTCTTCTCCTTCTTTCTCGCTCGCTCTCTCTCTCTCTTCTCCTTCTCTCTCGCTCGCTCTCTCTCTCTTCCCCTTCTCTCTTAAAGCTAGTGGTGTCTATCGGCGGCATCGGAGCAAATCCAGCCACCCCTTCCCCTTTTCATTACCAGTTGCAACTCTGAGCGGGGTCGATTCTCTTCCTCCTTCACCGCCACCACCTCTGACGGGGTTTGATTGGGGGAAATTGGAGGCCAATTCAGATGGTCGTTCTCTGCTTCTGAGGAGCATTGAGCGGAATCGATTCTCTTCCTCCTCCACCGCTACCACCTCCGACGGGGTTTGATTGGGGGAACTTGGAGGCCGATTCAGATGGGCGTTCTCTATTCTAGGGAGCTCTGAGCGGGGTCGATTCTCTTCCTCCTTCACCGCCACCACCTCCGACGGGATTTGATTGGGGCAACTTGGAGGCCGATTCAGATGGGCGTTCTGCTTCTGAGCATACAGACGCCCATTGTGGATTTTCCTGTGAGCAATCAACACAAATCATGTTGCCTGGCTGCGATTGTAGGTCTCGGAGGCATCAAGCGACTGCCATTGAAACCCGATCCAATTGTTCTGGATCGGATTTAAAGAACCGCAAAAGCTAAAAATAGAAATAGGAATTCGATGGTACCGACCAAAATATCAGAAGATCGATGAGAGACTGATGATCTAGATATTTGAGATTGGAAATCCAACGAGATGGGAAATCTAGTGCAACGAGAATCAGTGCATATTGGAAGGCGTCTCAGCTATCAGAAGGTGCGGAGCTGGAATTCGGTGGATATTCGATTTTTTTATTCCCTTTCCGGTCCAGTGTTTGAGACAGAGAGAGGGAAGAAGGCAAGGGAGAGTAGCTCAGAGCTCCCCAGAATTGGCCTCCAGGATTGGGTTTAAATCTAGTCATGCCTGGGCGTTTTGCTCCGGAGATCTTAAATTCCATCGATGTAATTTTGTATTTACACTGTAAACAAACGCAACCTAAAGGGAAAATCTATGATGCAAAAAAGATATAGTATCAAATAAAACACATCCATGAGTTTTGATAAATAAGATTTAATTGACTATTAATTTTATGATACTAATTGATTGGTCAAAATTTTTTCAGATATCATATTTTTCGATATCATAGTCAACCCTTAAAATGCCATGAAAAATGTGTATTGGCAAATGGTCAATATATCATTTATTTATTTATTTATTTTTTAATTTGAGAAGGAGATTGTTTTAATGTTATTTAACTATTAAAATTAATGTTTCCTTAAAATGCTTTGAAAAATTTGTATTGGCCAATGGTCGCCTGTTGAAAAAATACATTACACCTAATAAATGTAATATCGTGTAAAAAGTTTGCACTTTGATAAAAATAACAACTTAAAACTTCATTTTTGATAATATAACTTTTAACAAAAAAGAAGGTAAAATAATAAAAGTTTGCACCTTGATAAACTGTTTTTAACCAAAATTATTTTATATACTATTTACCAAATTTACGCTTTTAGACAATAAATAAAACAAAAATTACAAGAAAACCAACCAGAGACCGATATAATAATAAAAATCTATGATACGGAAAGACGTGGTACTGGAAGACCTGATTGGTCACCTCTCCTATTGATTGACTGTAAGTTTTTCAGGCATCATGTATTTCCGGTAAGATAGCTGAACCGATGATAATGTATATATTATTTAGTATATGATCAGTTCGGAAGAACATTGTTCGGTTGCCTACTGTTCACGTGCTAGTAATACTGCTGCGGATCGCCTGACTAAGTTCGGGTTTGTCAAAAACCTGGAGAGTGAGTCAGTGACCTACTTTTTCTTTTGATCAGTTGAATGGGTTTGTCCAGCTCTGATTAACTCTAACTTCAATTCGATCGAGGATCAAAGATTTTAAAACCGGCCTGCTAAAAAGTTTGGAATTCAAGGCTTAAAACATTCTACTTTCTTCATTCCAAAACCTCACATTCACAACCAAAGCTACATTTTTATCTGATACTTGATTCCAAATTGAAGTTTGTGCATGAGAGAGAGAGAGAGAGAGAGATTCTGAAACTATTTGATGCTCAATAACTGAATTGAGACGAGTGTCATAAGGCGAAGCATCAAGGAGCAAAAGACTTGGGAACCCATTAAAGATTACACATGAATCCTGATATTTGAAGCACAGGTGCATCTTCACCCTCGAAGTACGATTTCTTTGTATTCAAAGTTACAATGCAACAGGCGTCAAAGAATAACTCTACATTAAAGAAAAGGCAGAGACGTTAGGCCTCCCTTTTCCTCTTTTCTTTTCTTCTTTGAGCTTCGTTTAAAGGTGTACTCAGAAACAGAATATTGAAATATTTCTTCCAACTTCAAGCCTCACAGGTCTCCCTTTAAATTAATGTCTCAGCCCTGTATGGGATACCTCACTCCTGCTGCCATCACTCTCTGCTGCTCTAGCTGCTTCGTCAATTGATAATAATAACATCAGAGCTAGCTTTGTCACTCAAGAATTATCATAAAGGAAAAGCATTGATTTCTTTTTCTTAAACTTTACACGATTATATAAATTAATCCCACTTACTTGGAACAGTTCGTGCAATTTATTCTTGAGATAGCAGTATTCGTGCTCCAACAGCTCCAACGCTCGCAAGCATCTGATACAAAATTGCATTCTTTTTCTCTAAGTACAGTGATACAGTCATTAAGACTTAAGAAACACTTCAATCTCTCTCTCTCTCTCTCTCTCTCTCTCCTTCGTTTGAACTATATATGACAGCAAATGGAGAAGCAAAGGGGGAACAGCAGGAATTCTTAGGAACTCACCCAGCTCTGTTGCTCTGCTCGGAAGCGGCGCGAAAGGCAACGCATACGTTTCTGACCCTCTTAGCTCCTACACTGGAGCTACTCCCCATAAATTGGTTCAGATGGATTTCCATCTTCTTGTAATCCGACAACTCTCTATCCAACCTGTCAAACACCATTCATGCATTCCAGTATAAGAAAAAGTCTGCACTCCCCACTTGTTTTTCTTTGTAACCCAAACGAGGAAAAGGCCATAAAAAGAAAAGTAAATTCTTGGAGAACCCAAAATGCATTGGCTCCTCYACTGTCTTTCAACTTTTTCTCTTCTGTTGGGATATTAGTATTACTATGCCTGTTAGACAAGAGAGTTATAACTTACAAGAGACCTCTGAGATTTCTTAGAAGCTTCTCCGATTCGCGGAAGAAAATGGTGACGACCTCGAAAACAAAGTTGGGAGAAGTCTCATCTTGAAGCTGTTGTAGCTGCAAGAACTGCTCGTCCAGGACTCCCTGAATCACCATAACTCAAATCTCTTATTGCTGCTACGCAGACAACATTTGCATGCCACATATATCATGAAATAATCCCATTTTAGTTTCCCCGGTTTCTAAGAATAGATAGAAGGAAATCAGGGAATCTCGACGTATCGTGATTTCTGTCATTTCTTAGTACCCTGAATTGATCTCGTTTCCTTTGGATGATGATGAGACTGTATTCTCAAATGCAATGCAAGCCCAGAATGTAAGATGAGATGGAAGATATATATATATATATATATACCTGGTGGAACAGTAAGGCGAGTAAGCGATTCATGTCGGCTCGCAAGCGATCCGCGCCGAACCCAAGCATCCACAGCGGTAGACCCGTCTTGGCTAAAAGCTACTTTGATCACAGCCCAACGAAGCAAACAGAGTTTGAACTGCCGAAGGCAGTTCTTCTGTGTATCTTTCTCTTCTGCTCCTCCTTTTAATCTTCTGGGTATAAGTTTGAGCTCTGATGAAGGGCGCCAGAGGGAAGAGACGGGTTTGAATATAAAGGGTGGTGAAATACAGAAATAGTAACTGTGGCTTCAGGTCTGTTCTGGGCTGTGGGTAAGCAAGATAGAAAAATGAGAAATTTGGGAGTGAGCGTGCAGAGGAAAGAAGATCGAGGTGAATGTGGGGTATCAACCGGACCGGCAGCAGACGTGGGGCTAGATAGGGGGTGACCTGCTGTCACCCGTACACGGTTCCCTCGCGTGATGTCGCTTCGGCTGCTGCGGCGGTCACCCTCCGCCCGACCACTGCCTGCAGCCGGTAATGTCAGCATACAACAAAAATGGCCATTTTTTCGTCTTTATTTGCCATGTACAGAGCTAAAAGCCCTACCATTACTGCATTACTTACTCTTCACTCACTTTTCCTGCACTTTTTTGACCTTCCCTTTCTCCCTTTCTACAGCCCAAAACGGCCATAATCCCTTCCTTGAACTCTGAGAACTGAGAAGGGGTAGACGCCCGAGAAACTAGGCTTAGTACACATGGCTGATGACTCTTGACACGTGGTGACCTGGGAAGGGGTGGGGCTTAGTTTGTCTTTTCTGGGGTTCTCTGGGTCGAGAGCCCCGGGCATCATGAGACCTTTTTTGGATTTATGATGGGATGAGACTTGAGAGCACAAAATTATAGTAGATTTGATGTTATTCTGTAATATAATAATTGATAGTTAAGCTTGGAATATTGACCATCTGACGGGGTTCTCATGGGTTTCAAGTTAGAACCAGGTTCAGGTTCTGTAACCGACCCGGCCACATGCTTAGCTTTGAACCAAATATCACAATTCAATCAGATTGAACCGGGTTTGGTATTCCTACTGTTGGGTTTCTAAAATATATGAAGCTTTTTCTCCTTTAAACAATTAATCTCCCCAGGGTTAACCTGACACCAATCAGATTGAGTGGGAAATCATTGACAGGGTCCATTATTTTAATGTGGTGGACCCAGTGCCCACATCCCACTCACTTAAGAGATACGCGTAGGGCCCGAATGCAGGAATGTTGGATGAATCGAGTTATCGGGTCAGTAGGGGTCCAAGTGGGGCCTGGTGAGGTCAATCCAGCGAGATCGGCTTCCATCAGGGCAAGCCCGTGCCCACACCGTTTCAACCGCTTTTGCAACATTGTATTGGGAATATCCAATCCAATCCTATCCTTAATCGGATCATTCTGGGGATGGGTTAGGATGGGATTGGGTTCGGGCCGGTTAGATCAATTTCTCACTTTGCCATAATGTTTCTTGATTTTTAGATTTGAAAAAATATGTATGGATTAATTAAGGGTTCATTTGGTTCACACGAAGTATTGAATCGGAGGTTCATTTCAATTCTAACTATTTGGAAATTCTATTTTCATTCATGTTAGAATGGCATTTCCCCATTTGAGGAATCATCATTCTCTCCCTCTCCATTGGGAAGAAGAATCCATTCCAGCTGATCTTGATTCTAATTCTAATTCACATTTGAACCAAACATGCAATAGGAATAGACCATTTTCATTCTGATTTCGGTGGATTTACATTCCAACTCTGATGATGTACATTTTGGCAGCTCCCGGCTGACAGGTGACTCAGATGCCTGGCTGAATAATCCCTACCTAAAATGTGGCTTGGACACCTATCTAAATGGTTCCTACCTGGAAGGTAGTTTGGATGCCTAGCTGAATGGTGACGAGCTGGAGAGGTGGCTCTGATGCCTAATTGAATGGTGACGAGCTGGAGAGGTGGCTCTGATGCCTAACTGAATGGTGACGAGCTGAAGAGGTGGCTCTAATGTCTAGCTGAGTGGTGACAAGCTAGAGAGGTGGCTCTGATGCCTAGCTGAATGGTGACGAGCTAGGAGGTGGCTCTGATGCCTAACTGAATGGTAACAAGCTGGAGATGTGGCTCTGATGCCTAGCTGAATGGTGACGAGCTGGAGATGTGGCTCTGATGTCTAGCTAAGTGGTGACAGGCTAGAGAGGTGGCTCTGATGCCTACCTGAATGGTGACGAGCTAGGAGGTGGCTCTGATGCCTAGCTGAATGGTGACAAGCTGGATAGGTGGCTCTGATGTGACATGCAAGGAAACAGTGTCAGAGTGCCCGGGTTGCTTTACCCGGGGTCGGCACTCTGATGCTTAAGCTAGCGAATCAGAGATTTTAAGATAGCTAAATGTGAGAGAGCTGGAGAGCTACGAGAACTAAATTGCGCATCTACCTGGGTCTCAGGGGCTGATGCCCTTATATAGTTGGGATGTCGTAGGTCTCACAAAACGCTCCTGAAATCCTCAACCCACGATGTAGGGGTCTGTTCCGCTTTGGAAGGAGGATAACATGCCAATTAATAAGGCTTATCGTTTCCCTCCGATTTGGGTGGGATGAGGATAAGGCTTACGGTTATGCATCGTAATCCCGAAAGGTTCGGAGAYAACTGACAAGCTTCTAGAGAGGTAGGTCGCCAGGTCATCAGGTCGGTGACAGAGGCAGGTAGCCAGGTCGCCAGGTTGGTGACAGAGGCAGGTCACCAGGTCGACAACAAAAGTAGGTCACGAGGTCGACGACAGAGGTAGGTCGCCAGTTGGGACCCAATTTTGGCTAAGGCAAGTTGTCACCTAGGTGATGCTAGGATGTAGTCCAGCTATTCTGATATGCCATGTGTCGTGATGTCAATGGAGGGCCAAATCTATCCTCATCAAATTCCAAACCAAATGGACCTTCATTGAGATATTGAGTTTATCATTATTACCATGCTTACATGAAATTAGAAAATGTTTACCTTCAAAATTAAAATTGTTGATAGAAATAATATCAATGTTTTCAAAACTGAATTGGACCAGACAATCAGACCATAAAAACTGGGAACTGGTCATCTGTTTTACCTCAAAACTAACTCAGATGGTTAAACCATTGCCCCGAACTATGATTTTTGGCCATTTTTTTATTTTCTTAGTTTTTTAATTTTTTTTGTTAGAATGGATCATCCGTTTGGACTAAACGATCGGACTATTCAACCCAAAAACCGATCCCTAGAATATTTCCCAGTCCGGTCTGATTTTAAAGACCTTGCATGATATAGATATGTGCATTATAATCGTATGCATAGACAAATATGAAGACATGTTAGATTTTGGTTGGAATGGGTTGGGTTGGCCAACGCCTCAAGCCCTAGCCCAACACAAAGTTGGTTTCATACTTTTCTGGAAAAAAAAAAATCCTAAACCGGCCAGCCAGGTCCACCGATCCTACCTAGCTACAGGGTCAGCAGTGGCTGGGCAAGACCTTGAATCATGTTCGTCCTTTGTGATGTTAAAGAAAAATGTGGTTGCTTTTCAAAACAATCACTTCAATGCCACTTGGCTATTCTTGTTGGGGTAGCAAAAGTGACAAAGAAGATATCCAAACGAGCCCTTAACTTGCATCATAATGACGATATTAGTAAAGAATAAGAGTTAATTTTTCTAATTAATACTCTATATAGCTCAGGTTCCTTCTTTATGGGAGCATTTGGGTTATCACTACTCACTGAGTCAAGACCTAGTGTGCCTTTTTAAATATGAATTAATACAGTAAAAAAACCTGGAGTCATTGAAACCCTATTAATATACAGATAGATGATTAATCATCTGATTTTTTTTTTTCAAGAAATTCTTGGTTATAGGCCCACAAATGATAAATGGGTAGCCCAATTTTTTATTCTGACCAACACCCTGATGGGTATAATTATTGTTTTCTTTCAAGCATGTGTTTATATTCTTCTTCTCAAACTTCAAAGACACCTTGACATTCTCGTTGAGAGAGAAAGAAAGAGAGCATGCTTTGGATTGACGTAAGCAAACTCATTAATATAAGGAACCGTGTTCTTGATGATTTGTTAAAATAAGCTAACGAGGTCTTGTCTGCACATATTGTTCTTTCTTTAATCAATTCATTAATGTTTGTTTCTCTGTTGTAAATCTCTCCTCTCTATAGCCCAGGAGAATGTATTCATGTCTGCAGTGATCTGCTCGTGTATTCCCTTTTCACATTTTATATCTCTACCCATTTACACTTTGTCCTCTCTCTCTCTCTCTGATATTTACCTCGACTAAATCGCATAAAAAGGAAGAAGCATGCCTTGGTTTGACGTAAGCAGACTAATTAAAATGGATTGTCTAAAGCATGGCTAGCTTTTGAAGGTGACCATACAGGATACAGCCATTCAGAAGCTTATGATGAACATAGAGCTCTATAGCTAATAGCATGCTTTGTCCTCCCTTTCTTGCTTACTATGAGCATTACAAACTACTTTCCTTCCAGAAAACTTCTTTTTTCCTCTTCGAAATTCCAAATGTTGGATCCCACTTTTTCCTTGGATCATAAATTGAGTATATGATGTAAGAGTTTGTTTCTCTGTTTCTTCTCTTCATCTATCTATTCTTGTACCTCTCACTCACTCTCTCTCTCTCTCTAAAAGCTATGAAGTCATTAGGACAGCGATGTTTTTGTAAGATAAAGGACTCATTGCTCGAGAGAGTACGCACGAGAACCCAACTTTTATTTCTTTTGCAAACTTCAATTCCAGGCCTGGTCTTAGGTCTGTGAGTAGAGTCCATGTGGCTATATTGTAGGCTAGGCTTTTTYTCCATCCTGTGGTCGAGCCTCATGAGCATGCAGCTCTTATTTGCTTGAGGGTTTCCATTCTTTGAGGTTAATGATTGAGATCATTAAAGGGGAGATTATGAGCCCTATGAGCAATATTCTGACTATTATTCCCCTCATCATATACTAATTCTGGCATCAACATGTACTAATTCTTTCATCATGGGTTGTATAATTTTTGTTAATTATTATTGGACTAGTCTTACAGGTGGCAAACATCAACAGTAATAAAAGAATGATTCTCCACTGTGGACCTTGATATCTCCAAAAAGAATCTTTTTCCTTCTTTTTTTTTGGTTAAATTAAAGAAGCTATCAGTGGTGATAATGGTGAGGGAATAGAATCATTGAGCTATGCTGTGAATGAGAATCTACAGTCTTTATATTTCTTTGGACCATTTAAAATTTTAAATACTCAGAAGTGGAGAAGTGAAAAGGAACCTAAGGCCTGTTTAAGAGGGTTGAGTTGAAGATTCAGCTAAGCTAGTTCAGCCGTTTTAAAC